AGCTTGTCCTGTCATTTTGAAGATTTGCAGGATATTACTTGTTTTATTTGTCTTGTTTTTTATATTTTATTCTGTCCACAAATACTGAACTCATCATCTCTACAGACACATTCACTGTTGAAGATATTGGAATAGACAAAGAACCTGCCCTCTAAGACCTGAACTCCGAAGCAAAGTTTACAGTCTTAATTTGATTCTGCTGCCTGTGTTAAGAAATGGACAGGTTTCATATTGCTGTGACCTTTCCACTGCTTAGAATTGATGGAATTTTTCTTTTAGCTACAACTTTCAACAAAATTCTGTGTCCCACAGTCAATCTCAAAATACTCTCCTTACTTTGAATCCCAAGAGAAATCTAAGATACAAAAATTAAAACAGTGCAAATGAAACATGAGGCAGTCATTAGACAAAACACTTGCAATCTGATCAGTTGGAGCTTCCCATTCTGCATGACAATATACAAACATATATCATTTACTCTGCAACCATGATTTGGTCTGTAATTTATTACTCGTGGCATTCTCTATTACCACGTGTCTTGCGATTTCTGTATTGATGAAATAAGTAGCTTTATTTTTATTTTATTTACAAAATAACTGATGTTTTCTCTGAATCACCTATAAACAATAAATCTGTGCCTTACTCCTTCAAATGTCTGGCTCACTTTTGAGAATAGCAATTGAGTTTGAAAACTGATTTTGAAGCCATGCACAAGATAAGACAGAATATTATGTCAAATTAGCCAGATAAATTTGTTTCAAAGAGTTTGCTGCTAATGAACTGATACTGTATTGAGTTCTCAGGTTAAAACTTTGCAAAGACAAGACTGAATTTAAAAATATCAGTTTAGGAAAAAGAGAAAAATAGTCACATTTTGTATTTTTCTTGAGTGCTATAAACATGAGTAAGAGATTGAAGTTTATTGTTTTTTTAAAATGTGCAACTGTTTACTAACTACAATTTTTAAATAGATGATTTCTTTTTGATTCTAAAATATTCATGTGTCTTAAATATCATTGATTTAGTTACATTTCCCCCCCTAGAATAGCCTTACCTGTATGTAACTACCTAAAAAAGAACCTTTTCCAAGTCAATGGATAATTTTTAAATTGGAAAATTTTATGCTTCCAATTAATAAACCCTTTAAAAATTTCACCTTAAAACTGTTACTAAAGCTTCAAGTTGGATAATCTTGTCTTAAAAATGAATGACATTCAGTTAATCACCCCAGTCTGGGGTTGATTTTAATTTTTTTTATTCATCTTGGTATTCAGATAGAAGACTGGAAAATGGCAATCTCTCTGACATAATAGTTCATGCAGCATTATGTATACTCATAAGCCTTGTCCATGGTAAAAATCACTACCATCAGTTTTGATTCATGGTGACCCTGGATCACCATGTTTCCAGCACTAAAACTTTAAAGGAGGAAACTACTCATCATACTCCCCACTCACAGTAGCTGGTGTATTCCAAGCACTCTCCATATGGTGAGAAGCCCAGCATGCTAAGCATTAATCCACCAAAGCTTCCTACACAGAGTGCACACATGGATGTGTGTGCCTGCAAATATGTTTCTATGTGTATGTACATATTTATACCTTCCCATTGGAAGCTCTGGTGCTATAACTGGTAGAAAGTTGTGTTGCTCATCCATAGACAGCACCTCTCTGGGCAATTTGTATCCACCAGCAGCTCTGCAAAGAAAGATGGGCAGTTCCTCACATGCAATTAACAACCCTCTCAAAATTTCCACTGGAGAGTCAGCTAAGAGAAACTTGTGACTTGATGACAATGAGTTTGTGTTTACGTATATACATATCTACCTATGTACCTGCATACATAAGGAGGTTTTTTGGTTGTTATTTCAGTTGTTTCAAAATTGTATATGTTTTGCATTTGCAGAAAAGTCTTATTCTTGTGTACTTCTTAGTGTCATCACTTACCTTGGCCAAGTTGCACATGTTCCACTAAGATTGGTATTGCCTTCTCCATCATCACCACAATAAGATCTACTAGCTAAGGGAATAGGATTTTCAGAGGCCTGCTATTTCAGAAGTGGATGGCCAACCCTTCTTCCTACTCTTTTAATCTTAGAGGTTATTCCTTGAAGAGGGAGATCATATTTGGGAAGGTGGAATATTAGAGAGAGGAAGACCCTTGACCAAGTTGGTTGGCATGGTTACTATGATTGTGAGCTTGAGTATGTCAGAAATGGTGAGGATGGCATGGGATAATACAGTGTTCAAACTGGTTGTTCATAAAGTCACTATGAGTCGTTCTTGACTTAATGAAACCTATAACAACTAAAGTTAGGAAATAATTCCTTTCTCACCAACATTTATTTATACCTGGTAGCCACTAATGAATATAGTTTATTTATAGTACCATTACATTATAGTTGTTCTTTTTGTGGTTAATATTTTTCTTAGCATAATAATGTCCTCCAGTTTTATATATTAAAATATATTCTGAGACTTTATCAGGTTTTATAGCTGTGTAGTATCCTATTGTATGAATACAGTACATTTAGCTTATTCACTCTTCCATGGATTGGCACTTAAGTGGTTTACATCTTTTTCCTGTCACAACCTGTGTTGCAATGACAAGTATGCATATTATGAGAAAAGTGAATCATAATGTCTTTCTGTGTCTAGCTTTTTAAAGCACCTACTGTTTTCTATCAATGCATCTTGATTGCATGTTCGATCAATCTCCGATTGTAAAAGCTGGTAAAAATCTTCTATCTCCTCTTCCTTGGCTCTGGTTGTTGGTGTATATATTTGAATGATAGTGGTATTGACTGGACTTCCTTGTATGTGTATAGATATTATCCTGTCACTGACAATATTGTACTTCAAGATGGATCTAGCAATGACTTTTTTAACTATGAGCAACTTCATTTTCAACCAAGTTGTGCCAAGAAATCTGGAGAACGACCACTTGGCCAACTGACTGGAAGAGATCGATATTTGTTCCTATCCCAAAGAAAGGTGACCCAACAGATTGTGGAAACTACAGAACAATCTCACTGATTTCACATGCAAGCAAGATTTTACTGAAGATTATCCAAAAACGGCTGGAACAGCACATCAACAGAGAGCTACAAGAAGTCCAGGCTGGGTTTAGAAGGGGTCGTGGTACTAGAGATATTGTAGCTGATGTTAGATGGATCTTGGCTGAAAGCAGGGAATACCAGAGGAATGTCTATCTGTGTTTCATTGACTATGCAAAGGCATTTGACTGTGTAGATCATAACAAACTATGGTTGACTCTGAGAAGAATGGGAATCCAAGAACACTTGATCGTTCTAATGCAAATCTTATACTTGGACTAGGAGGCAGTCGTCAGAACAGAGCAAGGGAACACTGCATGGTTCAAAATTGGGAAGGCCGTATGCCAGGGATGTATCCTATCTCCATACCTTTTCAACCTATATGCAGAACAGATTATCCGGGAGGCTGGGCTCTATGAGGAGAAATGTGGGGTCAATATTGGTGGACGATTTATCATCAGTCTGCATTATGCGGATGACACAACTCTGCTTGCTGAAACTGAAGAGGACCTGAAGCGCCTGCTGCAGAGCGTCAAGGACTGCAGTCTACAATATGGATTGAGGCTCAATGTCAAGAAGACAAAGATTCTCACCACTGGACCAAATGGCAGAATCAGGATGGATGGTGAAGAGATTGAGATTGTACACAGCTTTAGTTTGCTTGGCTCCATAGTCAACAGTCTTGGCACCAGCAGCCAAGAAATTAAAAGGCACATTGCCATGGGAAAGTCTGCTGTTAGGGACCTCTCCAAAGTACTGAAGAGCAATGGTGTCTCTCTGGAGACTAAGATGCGTCTGATACAGCCCATGGTCTTCGCAATCACCTGTTATGCATCAGAGAGTTGGACAATGACCAGGGAGGATAGAAGGAGAATTGATGCCTTTGAGATGTGGTGCTGGAGAAGAGTATTGAGAATACCATGGACTGCTAGGAAAACAAACAGATTTGTCCTGGAAAGGGTTAAACTGGGTGGCTCCTTGGAGGCAAGGATTCTGAGGCTCCGTCTAACATACTTTGGACATGTTGTGAGGAGAGACCGGTCCTTAGAGAGGGTCATCATGCTTGGGAGGGTGGAGGGACAGCGCAGGAGAGGAGGGCCTCTGTGAGGTGGATTGATTCAGTGACTGGGATAATTGGGATTGGTGTGTCGGAGACAGTGCCATTGGCACAGGACAGAGTGGAGTTTAGGGCTGTTGTACATAGGGTCGCTATGAGTCGCAGGCAACTCGATGGCACATAACAACAACAACAACAACACTGTTTTCTATAGTGTTTGTACTACTTTTTAATTTGAATGTCTTCTACTTCTTACTTTCCTTTTTTAAGAAACAAAACAAAACTATGTTTCTACATTTTCTTTTCTGTCAGCTTTGATGAGAAAAATATTTTCTTGCTTCTTGCTTAAATAATCACCAGTACAAATTCTTACACAAAACAATTAATAAAATAATAATGTAAAATTCTTTCTGAATTCAACTTTCTTTACAGTCATACATTTTCTGAGAAATTGTTAGCAGTCTCCAGAGTTTGCCTTTCTCTCTGTCAGACCCATTAGCCTCTGTATATACTCTGGCATTTTTTAATCACATTGTCTGGAGGAAATGAAAGTGACAGGGATTTCAATTAAAGAAACACACTTTAGAAATGCCAGTGGAAAGTGGTTGTATTTTTATTTGCCTTTGTAAGTATGAGATAAATGCATTTCTTCAACACTACCTTAAGTCATGGTTTACATTTCATGCAGGTAACCTTTTTTTAATTTAAAATTACATTCAATAAAATTATGTTTACTCTTTCAAGTTTATTCTAAAATATTGCTAGAAATTTTAGTAGTCAATATTGTTTGGGTATGCTATATTTCCATTTTTTAAGTAATAAATATAAAAGGTAAAATTGCTAGATTATGCATAGCTTCCCACTGTTTCAGTGTCTTGTAAATTGCAGGGATGAAGAACCAGGAGGTCAGCTGGTAACAGATAAATTCCACATGGACTGGGATTCGGTTCTTGTTGACTCTGATAATGTCATTATAGCAAGATTTGATGGCCGGGGAAGTGGATTCCAGGGTCTAAAAGTTTTGCAGGAGATTCATCGGAGGATAGGTTCAGTGGAAGTCAAAGACCAAATAACAGCTGTGAAGTAAGTGGCTGAATATTCTTCTATTTCTTTTCTTCCAAACAAAAATCTGGTAAATGATACATATATGAACATAATATGACCAGTGATCTGAAACTTTTTAAATTAATCTTGTAGTCTGTTATATTTAAGTACCTTTTCAGAGTGATTTGATACCATAGTTAAATAATTACTCTATTTCTGGAAGTAGAATTCAGAGTTACCCTATGAAAATAACAGATCTGAAATATAACACTATATTATTTCCTTGCAATAATCTAGAATCAGATTTTCTTACCTAATTACATTTCCTCAACAGACATACTATTACACGTCTGGCTTTAAAAAGTACACTTAGAAAATTCACTTACTCCTTGTCCTTGAGTCATAACCAGCATTTAGCTGGTGTATTTTCAGGGCTGTAGCTTGCGCAGGAGATTGTCCATCTTTTTTCCCATAGAATTACTGGTAGATTCAAGCCACATGTGGTCTTTAGGTTAACAGCACATGTCTCTACAGTCTACAACCATCAAAGTTCCTTCTTAGAAGCCTAGCTGACTCTTTAAAACAGTGCATAATAATTGCTGGCATATTGTTCAAATATTGGTGCTGTTTTAAATATTTCTGGAAAAGACTGAATATTCTGTATTTATAATAACGAGTTACCAACTGACACCAAATTTACTGGACCACCAGTTTAGAGTAGAAACATTTTGGAATATATGACACTTTCCTTTGAACAGAGATACAGTGAGTAAAATATTTTTCACTCTCTTCAGTTTTTTAAATATAATTATGAATATGTATGTGTATTTTACTTGAGAAGGAATAACCTATTTTCTTTTATTACAGATATTTACTGAAACAGACATACATTGACTCCAAAAGAGTAAGCATTTTTGGCAAGGTAAATAGAAGTTTTTAAAATAATTTTAAAAACAGAAGTATATATTCCACTAACTAGAGAGGAGGTCAGTGTTATTAAATTTAATGGTCAAGACACGCCCTTCTGATGAAATGTCACTTAAACTTATGCCCAATTCCCATTTATTCCTCCTTCCCAAAAAGCAGAGCCCAAATACTCCTGAGACAGAATATTTTCCACAGAAGGAACAAAAAGTACACTATATTACTTTATTTTCATAAGTCAAAAAGGATTACCTTCTTTTCATGAACAATTCATTTCTTTATACTAACCCTCCTTATCTCTATTAATATTTTACACAAAAAATAATCTTTAAGATTAAAATTGGATTCTATTGCTACATGCCTGTCTTATCTTTTTTCCCTGTATTTTATAAATCTTGTTCTCATTATTTATATGTGCCTCTATATTAATTATTCAGATGTATTTTTTCTAATGTCCCTATTTTTTGTTGAATAATATGCCCACTTATCTTTAGTATGACTAATGATATATTTAAACACTGAATAATTTTATGTTCTTATTCTTTTTCACTTTCATTATCTCCACTTATACGTATTTTTATGTGAAATGTCTGTTCAAATCTTTAGTTTAGTTAAAATTGGGTTTCAAAGTCTTATATATCCTGGATAGAGGCCCTCACTTAGAGCTAAATGTTGTAAATATTTTCTCCCATTGTGTATTTGTGTGTGCGTGTGTGTGTGTGTTTGTGTGAATATGTGTATGCCTGCTATTTAATAATAATTTTAGCAACTTCTCTGAAGACTAGAAAAAAAATTTGATTTTTTTATTCAAATGCAATTTACATTTGTTATTTGTGTTTTTATCTTTTCTAATAAGTATTTATTAATGTAAGGTCATGAAAACTTCTATATTTCTTCTAGAAGCTTTAAAATTCTAGGTTTTAGACTTAGTTTTCAAATTAATTTTGATAAAATGTTTATATATAGTTTGTTGTATGAGTTGAAGTACTTTTCCTCTAAATGTCTTCAGATTGAGAAGATATGTCAAAAGACAATATTTTCACATTGGTATATATTTCGGTTTGTTTGCTTGTTTGTTTTGCATTATTTTAATTCATCAATTTTATAACTGTTGATCTATCTAAATCAGTATATTGCATTCCATCAATTTGTGTACATAACCATGATTTGTTAATAGAGGAACTCTTGATAGTTTGAGAACTAGTAATAGTGTCTTTGCTGTGGTTGGAAAGACTAAGTAGTAGAACTTTTTAACAACATCCCTCATCTCTATAAAAGTCAGCAAGGATGTGTGTGCATGTGTGTGTGTAAGGGTGTATACGCACACATGTGTGCATGTTAGATGCTATTCAATCAAATAAGACTTGTGACAACCCCAGGATTATAGTCACTGTGTAAAGTCAACACAGGAGCTTCCTCTCCTTTGCTGTTTATCTACATTTTCCTGTAACTCCTTTTTTCAAAGCCTGGTACCTCCTGACAACATGTCCTAGATATGTTTGGTGCAGTTTTACCTTCTTGCCTTGAAGGAGTGCTGTAGTTGAACTTCTTCCAAGACTTATTTGGTTTTTAACAGTACATTTGATATTTGATACTCTTCACCAAAACCGTAAATCAAAGACATCAATTCTTCTTTTAGCTTCATCATTCATTATCCAACTTTCAGATACTTTTTAAGCAATTGAAAATGTCATAGCTACATCAGGCTCTTCTTAGTCTTTAAAATAACCTCCTTGCTCTTTAGTATTTCAAACAGGACCTTGAAAGCACATTCCTCCGAAGCAGTATGTCTTCTGATGTTTTGACTGCTGCCACCAGGGTTGTTGATTATAGATTCATGCAAAATAAAAGAATTGAAACCTTCAGGCTTTTGTCCATCTATTATGATTTTGCTTATTGGTAAAGATTTTTGTTCTCAATATTGAAATATATCCCATGATGAAGACTGTATTCTTCTTTTTAATCTTTTCTAAGTGTTTCATACCTCTTCAATTTTTCAAGCAAAGTTGTGTCATCTGCATGATGTAAATTGTTGAGTCTTCTTCCAACCCTGTTTTCAATAACTATTTCATATAGTCCATCTTCTCCAATTATTTGCTCAGCTTTCAGATTTAGTACATATGGAAAACCAGTGCAACCCTGACACACACTTTTGCACTAATTTTAAGCCTGCTAGGATTGGATGGGCCATTCTCCCCCCCATGTGATTTACTGCCTCTGAAAACTTGCTGGAGGGTCAACTATGGCTCCATTCTGACAGTACAAAACAACAAGTATGCCCTTGCTTTATTTGAATGACTGCTTGTTAATTTGAATACAAGTTTCAAATGACCACAGTCAATTGTTCTGGAATTCCTATTTGGTGAAGTTAGGATTTCCTATTTATCAGCTATTGCAACCAACAAAGTCTCTAGACAATGGCAGATATTCCTTAAGAGGCAAAACTGCACCTGGTTGTTAACTACTGACTAACACAGATACCACTTTGACCCAATTACTAAAGTTTTATATTGACTTTTTACAACTCCCCTATTGATAGTTCAAATAGTATAATGGGCCCTTTTGTTGTTACTGTTGTATGTACCATCAAGTGGGAACTAACTCATAGCTAATTGACCAGCTGGTTTTTCAGAGACTGTCAACCACACAGGAAAGATAATCGAAAACTCTTCTGAGATTTTGTTTTAGGCTTACTAATACAAACAAGTAACACACACCCAAATTCTCCATTTTTCATTCCTTTTTTTTTTTGCTAAAATATAATTCACATACTATCAAATTCACCCTTACGTTAAATCCTAAAATGAGAGCATAAAAGTTACTTTATTGTCTTATTATTATTCAAAGCAAATTTTAGAGTCATCATGTCAATTTTTCAAAATAGATTTCTGTGATTTTTACTAGAATTATGTTGAATCTGCAAACACCTCAGGAAAGCAGACATACAAACAGAACTGAGTTTTTCACTTGGTCGTTTAAAGATATTTTTCCCTTGGTGTGCTGTAGTTTCTCAAGTATGTTTTAATTTACACCTGTCTGTTTGCCATTGATTCAAGGAAATTACTGATATTCCATTAAAACACAACCTTAGGGACGCTCTTCATTAAATGCATATGGAAAACAAATCAAAACTTCACTTTTCATATTTTCTGTGTTTGTCGTTTTGTGCTGAATTCCATGTAATTATCATTTATCTATAATCCAATAATTATAAATACGTGACTAATCTAGGGTGAATTTTTTATATGTATTGAGGTTTATAATTTGAATATTTGT